GAGGCCTCTACGAGGCTTCTGGGAGACCTCCTAGAAGCTTCTAGGAGGCCTCTTAAAGGCTTCTCAGAGGCTTCCAAGAGGCTTCTAAGAGGCTTCTTTAGGGGCTTCTAAGAGGCCTCTGAGAGGCTTCTGAGAGGCCTCAGGCCTTTAAGAGCATCTACACAATCATGCACATCTTCGAGTACGACTCATATACGTACTCAGATACCTTTACATAGGCATAAAGACGCACATTGCATGACGTTGTTTTAATGATACTCATATACGTGAACGGTATTGATTTGTCTGGACCTTGTTCGTATTGTCGACCGATGTTTAACCACCAAAGCCGAATAATTTCGCCACACCCACGCCGAGCCACTACTATCACTACTACGACTACTACTACTACTACTACTACTACGACTACTACTACGACTACTACTACTACGAATACGAATACGAATACTACCACTACTACGAATACGACTAATACTCTTACTACTGCAACTAGTACTATCACTACTACTACTACTACTACTACTACTACTACTATTACTACGAATACGAATACGAATACGAATACGAATACGGTTGCGATTATGATCACCACTACTACTACTACTACTACTACTACCACTACTACTACTACTACTACTACTACTACTACTAGTACTACTACTACTACTACTACTACTACTACGACTACTATTGCTACTACTACTACTACTATTACTACTACTACTACTACTACTACTACCACTACGACTACGACTACTACTGCAACTACTACTACTACTACGGCTACTACTACGACTACTATCACTAGCACTGCTATTATTACTACGACGGGAACGCCTATGTATTGCATTAGTGTTACTACTGCTGCTGCTGCTACCATTAGTACTACTACTAGTAGTACTACTCGTAGTAGTATCACTACTACTACTACTACTACTACAACTACGACTACCCATGCTATTACCACTACCACTGCTACTATTACTACCACACTGACGGCTACGAACAGCATCATTGATAAAAGTGGCGCTGCTGTTGCTGATGCTACTGCTGCTGCTACTAGCACTACGATTGTTACTATTATTATTAGTACTACTACTACTACTACTACTACTACTACTAATGAGACTACGACTACTACTACTACTACTACTATTACTACTACTACTACTACTACTATTACTATTACTACTATTACTACTGCTACTACTACTACTACTACTACTACTACGATTACTACTTCTACAACTACGGCTACGACTACAACCACTACCACTACTACTAGGACTACTACTCTTACTACTACTACGACTACTACTATGGTTTCTACTACGTCTTCTTCTACTACTACTAACTACTATTGCTACTACTACTACTACTACTACTACTACTACGAGTACAACTACGACTACCAGTATTACTGCTGCGACTACAACTAGTACCATTACCACACTTACTACCACAAGCGATTACAAACAGTACCATCGTTACTACTGCTGTTGCTGCTGCTACGCAGTACTCCTACTACTAGTACTACCACGAGTCTTACTACTACTATTATTATCTTTACTACTACTATTACTACTACCACTACTACTACTACTGTTACTACTACTACTACTACTACTACTACTACTACTATTACTACTACTACTACTCTACCACTACTACTGTTACTAATACTACTACTACGACGACGACGATTGCGACTACTACTACTACTACTACTACTACTATTACTACTACTACTAATACTACTACAACTACTACTACTACTACTACTACTACTACTATTACTACTCATACGACTACTACTACTACTACGGCAACACTGATACTACTACTGCTACTACTTCTACTACTACCACCACCACGAGTACTAGTACAAGTACTAGTAATAGTACTACTACTACTACTACTACTACTACTACTACTACATCTACTACTATTACTACTACTACTACTACTACTACCACCACCACTACTACTACTACTACTACTACTACTACTACCTACTACTACTAGTACTACGACTACTACTACTACCACTACTACTACTACTACTACTACTACTACTACTACTACTACTACAACGTCTACTACTATTACTACTAGTACTACTACTAGTACTAGTACTACTACTACTACTACTACCAGTACTACTACTACTACTACTACTACTACTACTAGTACTACTACTACTACTACTACTACTACTACTACTACTACTGTTACTACTACTACTACTACTACTTCTACTACTACTACTACTGCTACTACTACTACTACTACTACTACTACTACTACGGCTAATACTACTACCACTACTACTACTACGGCTAATACTACGACTGATACAACGGCTATGATTACGATTATCACTATTACCATCACTTCTACCACGATACCTACTAGTACCACTATTACCACATCAACTACTACTACTACTACTTCTTCTACTACTACTCGTACTTCCACTACTACGACTACTAATACTACTACTATTATTACGACTCGCTCCCCCTCTTTTTGTTATTTCTATTACTACCTCTACTACTACCACCACCACTACTACTACTACTACTACTACTACTACTACTACTACTACTACTACTATTCCCTGGCAGTTGGGAGTATCCCTGGTCATTTTTCCTGGAACTTGTTCGGTCTTTTTAATGTGCTCCTTGTCTCTTGCATGGACGCCGCACAAGTATAGTATGAGCGATGTCTTCTGGCCGCTGCTCATGTCCCCGGTCGACCGGGAAAACTCATTAAACTTGTGCTTACCATCGAACCGCGGAATAGAGCATTGCCGGGGCAGGGGGAGGGGTCAAGACACCCCCTAGATAGCAAGCCGTCTAGCTCACTCCCACCCTCCCTCCCAACACATAAGTATCACCCGAGCCTGAGCATGTTCAGCGGCCGTCTTTGGATGGACAGCTACTGGGAACCGAAACCGATCCCATGTGCGCGACGCTGGGGCGAGGTGCGCCACGCGTGCGAAGCGCGCCACGCGCGCCAGGCACCCCCGGGGCCCGAACGTGCCAGGCACGCCTGGTGCGCCAGATGCGTTTCGTGCTCCGCGCGCGCCAGGTGTGCCGCATACTCCAGCCGCGCCAGGTGCGCCACGTTCGGGGCACGTACAGAGTGTGTCAGGTGCGCCTGCGTACATGACAGCGCACGTCGGGAAACATGTCGGCCCCCACCATCCGTGTCGAAAAGCAATGCCCATCATTGTGTCTGGTGGGCCTGCGCACAGCAAGCCGTACGCCACCACCCCCTCCGTCCCTGTCAAAAACCAGTTGACAGTGACCGCGGGGTGGCCGCGCATAATCCAGATTTAGCCGCGAGGTGTATGTTTATTGTTTTTGTTGGGGATGGTAACCCTGCGCGCAGCAGGCAAGATGCTGACACCCCCGCTGTTCCTGCCCAAAACAATACCAAAAGCTCGCGGGCCTCACGAACATGACTCAAGACTGTGTTCCAACACGTATTTGTATTGTTTTTGACAGGGATGGTGGGGCGAGCGCATCGGGTTGGCCGCGCATGCTCCAAATGTGGAGTCGGTGCGTTTTGTATTTCTTACAGGGATGGTGGAGGTGGGGGTGAGCATGGTTCATGGTTGGCTGCCAGTCGCCTGGGGGAAGGGGTGTTAATAGGGAACAGTGATAAACCCTTCCCCGAAGGGGAAGAAGGGAGTTGGAAGAGAAATCTCTCTAGACTACCTACGCCAGAGGGCCTGCGGGATTCCACTGGGTCATCGGGATATGGCAGCAGGCATACCACTTGAAAGCCCTAAGGGGAGGAGGGGGGGGGGGGGGGGGGGGGGCAAATCGCGAGGATGTCTCGAGCAGGGGCCTCGTCTGTCAGTGGATAGCAAGGAAGTCTCGAGCGGGAGCCAGGGGCGCACAGGTGACACAGGTTCCACCGGTCCCACAAGTCGCACAAGTCCCAGAGGTTCCACAATTGCCACAGGCCCTACACGCCCCACAGGCCCAACAGGTCCCAGTGGTCCCACAGGTATCATAAACCCAACAACAAACCCAACAAGCGGCACAGGTTCCAGCCACGCCCACGCGCAGAGGGGGGTGGGGGGAGGGGGGAGGGCTTCTTAGAAGCACCCCTGCCTTCTAGAAGGCGCGGGCCTTGTCTATAGATGTAAGGCTGGCGCCTTCTAAGAAGCAGCCTCCTAAGAAGCCCCCCCCCTCCCTCCACCCCTTCTGCACGCCGCCAAAGGTTCCACGGACCCCACAAGTTTCACTGGTCCCACAGGCCCCGGAGGCCCCACAAGTTCCAGGGGCCCGCAGGTCGCACAGCCCCCGCAGGTCGCACAGCCCCCGCAGGTCACACAGGCCCCAACAGGTCGCACATGTCCCACAAGCCCTGCAGGTCTCAATAGCTCCACGGGCCCCACTGGTCTCAACGGTTTTACAGGTCGCACCCTGGCATCTTAGCATTCACCATCGTGAAACGTCTATGAGGATTAGCATGAGCACTAAGAAAATTATCATGCGGGGTCATTTTGTCGAAGTATTTATTTGTTTTTGCAATCGTCTTATGGGCACCATTACCTTAATCATCGGAGTGAGTGGGCCGAACGGTCATTCATTGTCCCTGGGTGCGTGGCAGAAGTGGCACTCCGACTAACATATTATGATGGTTGGTTGTTGCGTTGTCGTCGCCCTCGCCCGCGATCCGCCCACGGCCCACCCGCGACCCACCCCGCGCCCGCCGCAACAGCGGGGGGGCACGTTATCGCTATTAGTAGTCTTTATGTTTCCTTTGTTTTGGAAGTATACGTCTTCTCTGCATTGTCTTATTATTCTTGTGACTCGTAGTACGAATAATAAGTATAATAATTGTATCGCCAGCATTATTAGTGCTAAGATTATTTATATTCGTATCAATATCAGTTCGATCATTATTGTTTAGTTCAAACTATTTGTTATGTATTGGCATCATCATCGTTATTGGTATGATGGACCTGTTGCCCGCGCGAGGCGCTGGCGGCGACGTGCCCGGCGCCCCGCTGCCCACCGCCGCATTGCGGGCGGAGGCGGCGCGGCGGCCGACACCGCCGCCGCCGCCGAGCGGTTGGGTCAATCGCGCTTATGGGGTGGCGGGATCTGTGCACGAAGCGTTCCATAAAGGGCCCCGCCTTCGATCACCGAGCGCCCTCCACTACTCGCAGAGTGCCAACTCGCAAACGTCCGAAAGAGCACACACAGATCTTCTTCGATGCATTTTATCGCAGATCCCCCGCCGCGGATCCAGGTCGTTTGCGAGTGGAAGCTTTGCAAGCAGTGGAAAGCGCTCGTCTGTTCGAGAATGGAAGGAGGCGCCATCTCCGCGTGGTGGCCACATCGCGGGGCGAGTCGGTGGGGATCCGGGGTCACCACGCGGTTTTGGGACTGGAAGTCGTTCTCCGAGGGTGCGTCTGACGACCGGGACCTCCAGGATCCCAAGACCGTCTGGTGACAGGCCGACCGCGGTGAGGTCGTTAGGGATTCCGAGGTCACCACGCGGTCCGTCACAACACGGTTTTGGGGGCCCGAGATTTGGTACCCACAATTACGTGAGGCGTTCCAGAAACCTGGCATCGCTCGGACGTGTGCATTTTTCTCGGCAAGGACCGTCGAGGAGCATTTTTGTTCCACCTTGCGGAAAAAATGTACGCACGAAACCAGTGCACAAGGAATGGGCGTCCGAGCGATGGCGAGGAAAGGGCCTCGCCTTTGAGGGTCGACGGAGTTGCCACCTCTTCCTCGGCGGAAGGCGGCGGAAGTAGAACGGCGATGGCTTCGCCGGCGGAAGGCCGGCGGAAGTCAAAAAGTGTGCCCCAGGAGTTGGCAACATGTATTGGTTCAGGGTTTTGAGAAGCAGCCACATGTCCATTGCCCCAGAACCTTCACCGAGCGCGTTCCACTACTCGCAAAGTACCTGCTCGCAAACGTCCGAAAAACACACGTCTGCCCCGATGTGATGTATCGTGGATCCCCCGCGGCGAATCCAGGTCATTGGCGAGCAGTTACTTGGCGAGTAGTGGAACGCGCTCGTCGAGAGGCCCCTCCTCGGTCCAGGTGCGGTGCATCTGTCTCCCTGGCCAGTCCAGGAGGGCGTAAACCTTGCTCGTGGGCCCAGCCCGGGATGGCCCAGGCCTGGGGCGGTGGATCTGTTTCGATCCCGCACCCTTAGCGTCTTCAGCCGAGCGAGCGCCGAAGCCGCCGAGCCCCTGCGTTTTCGCCGTCGGCGGCGTCGGCGTCGTCGTCGCCGGCGCCGCCGTCAACGTCGGAGCCCTCGTCGTCGCACGTTATGGTCGTCATGGTCGTCGTCGTCGTCTTCATCGCTCCTTTCGGTTCCTCTCGCCGCCGCTTTTTGGGTCTCCTCTGGGGCCCTCGTCGCTGCGGCTTGGCTCGTCCCAGAATCTTCGTCAGGGAGCCACCCCATGGACACTTGGCATCGCTCAGACGTGTGCACTTTTTCTCGGCGGGGATCGTTGAGGAGCATCGGGGAGGACAGGTCTGGAGAGTGGCCGTATCGACGTGGGGGTCCAATTTCTGTGGGACGCAATACAGCAGCGCCGCGGAGGTTTTACAGCCATCCCCGTTGTGGGACAGGCTCGCTTACTGCAGTCTACCTCGCTTTCTCTTTCTCTCTGTCTCTCTCTCTCTCTCTCTCTTTCTCCTCTATGGCGGTCTTCAATTTGTCTTGGGGATCTGAGGGCGATCGTGAGGCGAGAGGCGATTCGAGGCTCTCTTGAGCCGTGTTTGCGGCCTCCTTGGACACTCTGGGCCCGTCTTGGGACGGGACCTGCTTGGCTTCCAGAAGACGCACGCGGCACACCCCAAGAGCTCCCTTCCTCCTCTCCGTCCACTTTACAGTGCTCCTGCACCGCGGGCGTGCAGGTGCGAGGCTCGCGACTCGCCCAGGCCGTGCTCACAGCGAGATGGGGAGGGGGACACACGCTCTCAGGGTGTTCCTCACGTAGCCAGGGAACGAAACTCTTGTTCTCTCTCTCTCTATATATATATATATGTACGTATGTATGGACGGATGAATGTATGCATGCATGGAAATATGTATGAATGTCTGTATGTATACATACATAAAGAGGCAGTTAGAGAGAGATAGAGAGAGAGTGAGACAGAGCGAGAGAGAAGTCGAACGGCCTTCGGCCCACCCAGCCACCGTGCCAGGGTTGCGGGCTGATCCACACTTCGGTTGATCTGGCTTTGGCCACGGTGACCGCAGGACCAGGTACCCGACTCAGACTCGGGGATGCCGTACGTATCAGTTTGTATATCGTGAAGTTCTTGGGTATTCAAAAGCTGGTGTACTCCAGTTCTGCTCAGCCGTGCTGGTTGAGACGCCAAGGGTATGTTGCTTGACGATCGAATGCGAATTTGCAGTTTACTCGACCACATCCTCTCGTACGTGGGCAACGCGGCGAGGTACCACCTGAGCACCACGGGCCGGGAGGGCTACGATGTGATGGGCGTTTGTATGCGAATGCGGACGGGAATGTGGCAGCGATTCCACATGGACGACCAGTACAGACAACTAGAGGCGCAGTACTTGGCGTTCAGAGCGGTCGAGATGGAAAGCACATCCAGCAGCGACGCATGGATCATATAGACAGACCAGCAGACGTGGCCGAAACCTCACGGCCGTGCTGGCCCAACCCGACTGAACATCTTGCTACTGCGTGCTTTGCCGTTGCCTCCTTGACCGATTGGAGAGGCCTGACGGCCGGTGCCGCCGACCCTGATCGAAAGGGCTAGGAGTGGGGGGAGGAAGCGGAGGATGAAGAGGAGGAGGAGCAGGAGGAGGAGGAGAAGGAGGAGGAGCAGGAGGAGGAGAAGGAGGAGGAGGCGAAGGAGGAGAAGGAGGAGGAGGAGGAGGAAGAGGAGGAGGAGGAAGAGGAGGAGGAGGAAGTGCATCCTTTGTGTGCCCGCTCGAAGAAAGTGCGCCCCGACTTGGGACGTGCTCCCGGAAGAGGAAGAAGTGCATCTCGGGCGTGCCCGCTCGAGGAAAATGCGCCCTATGGGGGTGGTATTTTGACTCGGGGCCCGCTCCCGGGACGCCTCTGCGGGAGGAGGAGGAGGAGGAGGAGGAGGAGGAGGAGGAGGAGGAGGAGAGGAGCAGGAGGAGGAGGAGGAGGAGGAGGAAAAGGAGGAGGAGGAGGAGGAAGTGCATCCCGTGCGTGCCCGCTCGAGGAATGTACGCCCCGGCGGGCGTCGTATCTGCCCCGCCCCCCCCCCCTCCACAATTATTCAATATGAAAATACTCTCCCTCTTCCCCTGATGGCATGCGAACGCGGCCACTGGGGCCTCCGGTGGAGCTCCCTATGGGGCCACGATCCTGGCGAGGGGTGCGCCAAAATGGGGCGGGGCCGCCATGCGAACGCAACCACTGGAGCCTTCCTCCCTATGGGGCCACGATCCTCGTGAGGGGTGTGCCGAAATGGGGCGGGGCCGCCATGCGAACGCGGCCACTGGGGCCTTCGGTGGAGCTCCCTACGGGGCCACGATCCTCGTGAGGGGTATGGCGGAAAGGGGCGGGGCCGCCATGCGAACGCGGCCACTGGGGCCTTCGGTGGAGTTCCCTATGGGGCCACGATCCTCGTGAGGGGTATGCCGAAATGGGGCGGGGCCGCCATGCGAACGCGGCCACTGGGGCCGTCGGTGGAGCTCCCTATGGGGCCACGAAACGTTGTACTGGGTGGGTGAAACGCAGGGAGGAGAGGGGAGGAGGAGAGGAGGAGGAGGAGAGGAGAGGAGAGGAGACGCGAACACCACAGGATGGTTGGGAACTTACCAAATACGCATGCCCAGATGCCTCGGGAGGCCGGGGGTGCCGGGGTGCAGGGGGGGGTCCCGGCGAAGAATTTGCAGGGCGGGTGGCGTCTAAAAACTTACCAAAAACGCATGGAGGCCGGGGGTGCCGGGGTGCAGCAGGGGGGGGGCCGGCGAAGAATTTGCAGAGTGGGTGCCCAAAAACTTTGCAAAAACGCATGACCAGAGGCTTCGGGAGGCTGGGGGTGCCAGGGTGCAGGGGGGGGTCCCGGCGAAGAATTTGCAGGGTGGGTTGCCTCTACAAACCATTACCCAGAGGCTGCAGGAGGCGGGGAATGTCAGGCGCGGTGGGGGGTTCCCGGCGAAGATTTTGCATGGTTGGGGGTCCTTGAAAGCAGAGGCCGAGGAGCCCCAGGAGGTTGGTAATGTCAGGCGTGGTGGCGGTTGGGTGGTTTCGGGCGCGGTGGCGGGTGGGTGGTGGGTCCCAAGAAGAACTCTCCTGTGGTGGGGGTGCCGGGGCCAGGATCCAGGAGGGGGGTATGGGTGGGGAGTGCGGGGGCGAGGAGGGGGTATGGGTGGTTTCGGGCGAAAAATCGTCGCGTGGGGGGTCCCAAGAATTGAGCTCTCCTGTGGTGGGGGTGCCGGTGCCAGGAGGGGGGTATGGGTGGGGGGTGCCGGGGCGAGGCTAGGGGGGCATGGGTGGTTTCGGGCGAGAAATCCAAAAACGCATGCCCAGACGCATCGGGAGGCCGGGGGTGCCAGGGTGCAGGGGGGGTCCCGGCGAAGAATTTGCAGGGTGGGTGGCGCCTAAAAACTTACGAAAAAAAAAAACGCATGGCCAGAGGCCTCGGGAGGCTGGGGGCGCCGAGGTGCGGGGGGGGGCCCGGCGAAGAATTTGCGGGGTGGGTGGCCTAAAAGAACCTGGAGATTCCAAAGTTGTATTATAATGCCTGGACGAACTATAGATCAACCCTATGTTTTCCCTGGACCGCACTATAGAGCAACCCAGGATTTTTGAGTGTATTGTACTTTTTTCCGTTAGCGCATCCTTCTTGGATCCCCTGAGTGAGGGGCATCGCATATCATATCCGCACATGCGCGATCCGTAGCAGCGAAGGCTCGAGTGCATCGCGCTTCCTTTGTTCGCGCATTTCGCGCGGGCGCGGCCAACGTGGCCAAGGACAAGCAGATGCAGATACGGTCTTCCACGGTGAGCGCCGATCAGTTGAGGTCGCTGGTGAAACAGCGCATTGGCTTGATCGA